GTAAGGAATCGCCATGTGTTGTGAATATTCATCACTCGGTAATATTGTCGTGATTATTATATGGCACTAAAGATGAAGCAAATATAATTATAACATCTAATGACATGATTCGCATGTATATTTGTCATCTTATTGTTACAATTATCAATATCATCATTAAAGTTATTATTACCATCATTCGTTATTATCATTTATGAAGAATCATCATTGTCATTATCACCAGGATCAATATCGTCATTATATTTGTGATCATATGGATTAATTATTTCTATTAGCATAATCTTCATCATCAGTATACAAATTGATAGCTTCATCTTTGTTCTTAGTGTTGTTACTATCATAGTCACTATCACCATTGTTATTATCAGCATCATTTGTATTATTGTGAGTATCATTGTAATTATTATTATAAAATTTCTCTCACGTGTTTCGTTTATCATTAAATAGATTTTAAATTAATCTCGCTTATCTGTTTCATTGTTTATCAAAATTTTCCTGTAATATTCAGATATAATTAACAAATCGAGTATTGAAAATGCATAAGTTAACTATATATTTCCAAAGAATTTAGCAAATTCTAAGTTACTTCAAATCGTTATTCTATTTATTCGAATCGTAGTTAAATCTTGTAGGCCTATTCATACATGTGTTTTGTGTGGTTAATATTCTACAGGTATTATTATGCATTCAGTATTTTACATCTATTGTCGTCATACATTTCATCAGCTGCGTTGCATTCCTATAAATTCTATATTTCACTCTACGTATCGAGTATCAGTTAGATGTTACAAAGGCTATTGTGTTAGATTACCGGTTTTCTCGATATTTCATTTTGCGGTTAGCGTTCTTCCATTCCTTGCTTATTTATTAGAGTATATATATATATATATATATATATATATATATATATATATATATATATATATATATATATATAAATATATATATATATATATATATATATATATATATATATATATATATATATATCATATAATATATATAAGCATATATATATATATACGTATATATACAATATACTATATATGCATGTATGTATATTTATATATATATATATATATATATATATATATATATATATATATATATATATATATATTATAGACTATACATATATATGGATATATATATAATATATATAAAATGTATATAATATATCTATATACATTATATACATTTAGTAGCGATAAATCAATATATCCCTAATAAATATCGAGTGATTATATCATCTTTATTTATATGAAATTGATTTTGATGAGAATTTGTCATAATGATACAAAGTTAAAATCATTTCTTATTAGTATTAATTAATGCATATATTTTAGCATGCATTGGTTGCCATAAGAGGTATCACAAAAATATAGCATTTTTAAATTAATATTTGCATTTGTTCAAGGTCTAATAACATATGCATTTTGAGGAAATTACTTGCATACGAAGGCGTGTATGTGTGTGTGTGTGTGTGTGTGTGTGTGTGTGTGTGTGTGTGTGTGTGTGTGTGTGTGTGTGTGTGTGTGTGTGTGTGTGTGTGTGTGTGTATGTGTGTGTGTGATTATATTCGAATATGTATGGTATGTATGTTTATATGTTTGTTTATAGGTTTGTCTATATATGTATTTATAACCCTCTCTCTCTCTATCTATCTATCTATCTCTCACACACACACACTCACTCCCTCTCTCTTTCTCCTTCTTCTTCTACACGCGTAATACATAGAAAAAATACACAAGAGCTCGGGAACTGAATCCGCAAGGCGCCGCGTGCCTCCTCCCGCCCTCGGCAGGTACCGCTCCCGCCGGCCCGTAACTCAGCCGCCAACAGGAACGGCCGCAGACCTTCATTCCGCAGCCGCAGTTTCGCCGCCTCTGCCGCCAACCGCCCTGCTTAAGCGCTCCTCCGGCCTGCCTTTACGTGCTGTCTTATCTCTTGCTCTCCGACCGTGCTTCGTAGTAAAGCGTAAACGAGGAGACTTTTCGGAACGCACACATGTACACGCGGGTGCCCGCACGCAACGCGCACATGCACGTGAACGCGTACACATACACGTGCACACACAGACGCGCGCGCGCGTGTCTGTTTCTCTCTTGTTTTATCCTTCCTTTCTTTACTTAATCTCACTCTCTCACTTCTCTCTCTCCTCTCTCTTTCCTCTCTCTCTCTCTCTCTCTCTCTCTCTCTCTCTCTCTCTCTCTCTCTCTCTCTCTCTCTCTCTCTCTCTCTCTCTCTCTCTCTCTCTCTCTCTCTCTCTCTCTTTTATTTTTTTTTTTTTACCAGCGTGCCATGCTTCCCGACATTCAACCGACATTCTTCGTCTTAACGGCTTTGGTAGATGCACACGGCTACACTTTATAGGCCTACCTCATGTGTTCGAAAAGGGGATAGGCTTGTGGATGACATACTTGGCGCGTTTCATTGTTCCTGCATACTTCGATGGATGACAAGAGAAAGATTTTAAAAATGCCTAGTTTTTTTTATAATTGTATTCGCAGTATAAGATGCGTACACACACACACTGAACTAACATAAAAAATCTAATATATTCACCTGAATGACACACTCAAGCACGCAAAAGCCAATTTCACTGTTTTGAGCGAAAAATAGAGAAAGAAAAGAAAAGAAAAAATCGGTATGGTTGTTATCGGCTTAACGATGTAGTTTCGATAACCGAGAAAGGGACCCATTAGCTCTTCGCTTCACGTTACTCGGGATCAATGGTGCTACTGACACCCTTTCCTCCCCCCCCTCTCCCTTTCCCCTTCTCCTTTCCCTTTCCTCTCTTCTTGGTATCTCTGTTTCTTGCCTTTCTTTCTCGCTTTCGTGTTTTTTTTTCTTTTTCTTCTGGGTTTCCTCTCCTCTCTTAGTCTTTTCTGGGTTTCCTCTTTCTTCTCCTTTTTCTGGGTTTCCTCTTTTCTTTTGTATCCACTTTTCTATCTGTTTTCTCCATCCCTCCCTTTCCCTTCTTCCTACTTCTTCCCTTCATTTTCTTCCCTTTCTTCTCTCTCTCTCTCTCTCTCTCTCACTCTCTCTCTCTCTCTCTCTCTCTCTCTCTCTCTCTCTCTCTCTCTCTCTCTCTCTCTCTCTCTCTCTCTCTCTGTCCTCTCTCTCTCTCTCTCTCTCTCTCTCTCTCTCTCTCTCTCTCTCTCTCTCTCTCTCTCTCTCTCCTCTCTGTTTACCTATTTCCATTTCTTTCCTTCCTCATTATAGGTTCACCCTTTGCTCCCTCTTCCTCTCTCTTTCAGGTTCCTCCTTCCTCCCCTTCCTCCCTTTCACCCTTCTCTTCCTCCCTGGTTCTTGGGATTTTTTATTATTCCCCTTTCTTCCCCCCCCCCTTCGCCTTTTCTTCCTCTAGGTCCTTAATTACTTCTCTTCTTCTCTTCCTCCTCCTCCTCCCCCCCATCCTCGCCCTCCTTCCTCCCTTTCCTCCTCCTCCTCCTCCTTCCTCCCTTTCCTCTTCACCCTCCTCCTCCTCCTTCCTCCCTTTCCTCCTCTTCTTCCCCCTTCTCGTCTTCCTTCCTCCTGCTCCATCCCCTCCTTCCCTGCCCCTACCCCCCCAACCCCCCCGTCTCTCATGGCCTCTTTCTCCTAACAAATCACCGACATGTTCTCACCTTGACGTGTAGGGCGCGAGGTCCTTTAACCGCGTGTGTACACATGGCGCTCGTGTGTGTGTGTGTGTGTGTGTGTGTGTGTGTATGTGGAAAGCAGTGCGTTTATGTGGGTAACGTTTTACTTCCATATGACATTATAAATATTGTTATGTGAATGTTACCGCTTATGCACACTCCAGCCATCTAGTTATTATCTCTCTCTCTCTCTCTCTCTCTCTCGTCTCTCTCTCTCTCTCCTCTCTCTCTCTCTCTCTCTCTCTCCTCTCTCTCTCTCTCTCTCTCTCTCTCTCTCTCTCTCTCTCTCTCTCTCTCTCTCTCTCTCTCTCTCTTTTCCTCCTCCCTTCCCTCTGTCTCTCTCTCTCACACACACACACACACACACACAAACACATACAAACATAGATAAATAAACAAATAAATAAACAAATATCCTTTCTCTTAATCGCATTTGTACAAGAAAACCTTTGATAGCCACCCTCTCCCCCCTTCCACCCCCACCCCCCAGTCTTTTGGAGTGACACCCGTATTTCCTTTTTACACAACCTCCTCCTTGACCAATCATCCGCTGCGAATTTCCGAGCGATTGATATACCCCCCCCTCCCCCCCACTCCTCCTCCACACTTCCCTTCCCATCCCCTCCACCTCTCTCTTTCCCACCCCCCCACCCCCCCCGTTTTCGTAGTAATGTTTCCGTAAACGTTTTCGTCGTTTTTTTTCGTTTTTTTTCGTTTATTTATTTATTTTTTTATTATTCCTGATTCTCATTTCCCTTTTCTCGGTGCCTTCGGAGGTGGTGGTGATGTGTTAATGATAGGTTTGTTGTTGTTATAGTGATAAAGAATGATTTTCTGTTTGTGTGCTGTTATCTTCGTTCGCTTGCGCGCTTACTCTCTCTCTCCCTTTCTCTTTCTGTTTTCTTTCTCTCTCTCTTTTTCTCTGTCTCTCCTCTCTTTCTCTCTCTTTCTCTTCTCTTTCTCTTCTCTTTCTATCTCGCTCTCTTTCTCTCGATCTGGACTCTCTTTCTCTCTCTCTCTCTCTCTCATCGTGTCTCATCTCCTCCGTCACGTCATCCCTCTCTCCTCTCATCTCTTCTCTCGTCTCTGATCATCTCTCTCATCCTCTCCTCTCTCTCTCTCTCTCTCCTCTCTCTCTCTCTCTCTCTCTCTCTCTCTCTCTCTTTTCCTCCTCCCTTCCCTCTGTCTCTCTCTCTCTGTGTGTGTGTGTGTATGTGGAAAGCAGTGCGTTTATGTGGGTAACGTTTTACTTCCATATGACATTATAAATATTGTTATGTGAATGTTACCGCTTATGCACACTCCAGCCATCTAGTTATTATCTTTCTCTCTCTCTCTCTCTCTCTCTCTCTCTCT